TTCTAGTCAAATAAATTCCTACTAATCGACGGTCTGTGTCGATACGTTCTGATGATGTATATGGACCCGCCATGGCGCCCGCAGTTGTGTTGGAAACAATCAACTGCCACGGAAATGTCATTGTAATCAATCACGCCGGCTCGTTTGAATTATTCGAATGAAGATTACTCAAATCTATATCATTATTTATGGCGAATGTAACAGGGTTATCTCAGGAACATGTGATATATTTGCAATTTGCTAAGTTAGCTTCATTTTCAATGCCGAATCGAATGAGAATATAAAATTGGGGGGTTTCCATTTGAAAAACTTGACTTACAATAATTTCTTCAACCTGATTTATATCATATTCTGGTGAATGCCCTGTATAACTGTAATTGAATTGATATCGAAATTCTACTGAACTGGATCCTCTCCTACGAATGAATCGATACACCATCGAAAATAAATGATAATGTTCAGAAAAAAAATATTTTGGTCTGCAAATGCAATTTTCAACTTAAAATTTGAAATATATCGAAAACGGTTAGACTTGGGTATAGGACATTATGCATAGAACCTGTTGAAAATCATGCGTTGAATCTGAAACCTTGATAATATACAGGGTGTATTAATACGAAGTTGGGGTTGACTTCCGGTACAACCAGAGGTGCCACAAACTCCAAAATATTTTAGCTGGATAGCACTTATCAACAATGGTGAACTCCCAAATTTCCGAATCCGGCCCACCTATGGTTTTCTATATATTGATCGATGTCCCGGGGGGACACCCTGTATAGGTACACACAATGTTCTTCGAATATCGGGATTCTCTTTTGTGCGGTCCAAGAGATGAAAGAGAAGTTGAATAAAAATATGTACTAATTTTCTATAATGACTCAAAATCAAAGCTATACAGGGTGTCCCGAATTTAGCCTGCCAAACTTCACCATCTCAATAGTCAAAACCGCTATGCGATTCAATAATAAATATATTCACAGGAAATTCAAATCTTTCCATTCGAACAACAACCATATCTGACTTCGCTTACTTGAAAATTCACTTTTCCTACGAGCGTGCGTAAAAGTGACTTTTCCGCACGATTTTCGTTTTGAAAGTTGCACTCTTTCGTATGATTTCAATTTTTCGCAGGAATTTTCACTTTTCCGCACGATTTCATCAGAAATAGTACCCCAACTTTCTTCGTTCGTTGGCCTATTACAGGGGGTCGTTACAAAGTAATTTTTTCTGATCAATGGATTCGTGATTATTGAGGCAGGAGGCAGACTGAGATTGTAGACATTGAGACAACATATATATAATTACTGAGACATATATTCAGGCAGTATGATCAGGCAGAGGTTACAGGCAACAAAATCACAGTTTGCTTACATTTTAGATTGCACATTTTTGTTACACTGTTCACTTGTTTTTAATTGGCGAGAGATTCACTTCACTTTTTCGTCTTAGTCACAAAAGTTGCAGTTCACAATAAATCTACCTGAGTGAGTACTTACACAGGTATTATTAACAAAGTTCACTGGTACTGTTTTAACGTAGCATGTTTGATAGACAGATACAATGTCGGCTGGATACGTTTTGTATTGAGTCACGTTTAAGACTTGACATTTTACATTCTGGTCAATATATTAAATAATTGTACTTCAATAATTATTTCCGAGGCTCACTAACAAAACTTTCAACTAACACAACGGAGATCGAGACATATCGTAATGGAGAATGATCAAGACTGCTTCAAGAGTAACTTCAGACTGTCTTATTTTATTCGGATTGTTCCTGCTTTTATACAGAATTTAGCAATAAATTTTGGGAGAATCAATTAAATATAAGACAAGCTCCATGTTGTGTTTATATTAGGCAAGATTTTTCGTAGATTTTTTGAGTGATAAATTACAGATGTTAGGATTAATTTGCGAAACTAAAAAGATTTCGTTGTAGTTCTGAATTATTATGACGATAAGTAATTTTACGCTCCAACTTATACTCTTAATGTTAACAAAACTGTCACTTACTATAGTTTTCCATTAGCCCCTTTTCAAGCAATAATTCAATGTGGTTTATGATTCTCATTAATTTTTCTTGACTTCATTTTGCACAGGTGAGATGATTTCGATGTTATGATAATAATTCACTTAATGAATATTAACAAAATTGACAATGACATGCTCTTTCCTTTACGTATGTGGGCTAAATAATAATTTATTGATCTTTCGAGCCAAAGTCACTTCCTCTTTACTGAACTTATAAATTCTCTGCAATTTCTGATCAACGTCATTTTTGTCTCTGAATTCGGTCCTGTGATATTAACCTGCTTCGTCCTCAAGTGACCAGTGAATTCGTATCACAAAGGTTACGTACCTACTTATTCGATACATTTGTTTATGCTCATGATGCTGCACTCAATTCAAAATAAACATTCGTCTGTTCATGTAATAATATTGCCTAATTAGTTCTTTCGAATTATTCCGCTTAGACGCATGATAAAAGTTATTCTTGTATTCTTCACTGTACTAAGTTCAAAAGAATTCAGAAATTCACATAATTTTTTCTAAGATACCCGTTCATTACATTTGTTTGTGGTTGTTTTCGAAAACTCAGTTTCATTGGCAATTTAACGAGAGCTGCTGTTCTGAAAAAATCAGGAGAGCGTACATTGTTTTCACCACGTAATGTTTATAATTTTTCCCATTCTGTTTCTTCATATTGAAGCCTCAGTGACTCAATAATCCTGCCACATTTTTCACTGACTGTTCGGTTTCCAAGTTTCGTTATTAACAAAATTCGCTAAATTGGTATCAAATGGAGGAATTACTTCTTTTTGTATCATCTGGAGATGTATGGAAAATTTTATGTAGAAGTTATGATAATGTTTCTGCTCATGATTTTTTTTTCGTGAATCCAGGAAATAGTAGATATTTATACTGTTCAATTTATTTTTTTCTTCTTGATTGATTGATTATTCTCTTCAAATGATAAAGATCAATTATTCACGTCACTGCCAGTTCAATGAATATTATTGATTATCTAATCAATATTATTGTTATGATTCCAGGACGAAACACAAATGACAAAATAAAGGTAACTGAGAAAAGCCGTAAAAAGTCACTTTTTTTTTTGTTGAGAATGACATTTGCATAAGCCCCATCGGGATATATCATATTTTATGTCCCACTCAAAGTTTATAAATATTTACTGGTCTAAACGTGTGCCAATTTCAACGAATTTCTGCTTCAATGGTATTCTCCGGACAAAAGCATCAAAATAAAACAGAATTGGCAACACGGCGTCGCCTTGTGGAGTCATTTTTCCTTTTATTTTTACACGTGTTGCATTGTATTGATTGATTTATATCTGTTTTTCTTCATTTTCATATAGTTTTTGGGCAAGTAAGTGATAATTCATATGCATTCATGGTAGTTAGGTACTGGATATCAGTTGGATCCCTTTGAAACCGATGACAATCTCGAGAAAGACTACGAGACAAAGACATTATCCTCTGATTCAGATGGTCAACAAGATGACGAAATCGACAGCTGTGATGATCAATCGTCTGTGCATAATGTGCCAAGTAACTACTTTGCAGGTATTGTTTCACGCCCTATAGCATACATGAAACTGTAAAATCATATTGAATGAAGATTTGACGAGACTTGGACTTTTTTTCATAGGTTACCAGTGGGACATATAATTATATTATGATTCATTCAACAATACCAATGGGGCATATCTGTGCCATTCGTCAATGTCAAAAAACGAATTTTAAATTATGCAAACCTGTAGGAGTGAGCTAACCATGTACAAAATGAATGAGAAATCACAATTCCACCTCAGTTTATTTATAAGGGAAAAGTGGGGCTGAAAGTGTTAAGAGGACTTATTTTTGACAATAAATTCAATCATCAATGAATAAATGAATCAAATAAATAATGGATAGTTGTATACCTATATAAATATTGACCAGAACATCACTGACCATGGCAAAATCAAAATATGATTTCATCTCATGGTTAAAATACTCACAGAGGACGAACCAGATCAATCCAATCAGAACTCATTTTGTAATATAATTTTTCCAGTATTCTAATTGAAATATTATTGCTGCGAGGTTACACATCAAAAATTCATCTGTACATATAAGTGTATAGTTTGTCAGCTTGATATTCAGTGAGAGTGAAGAGTCACGAATAGATTTGATGACTTATTCTCCAGAAATATACAATGTTAGTCACGTTATTGTAATCTTCAGAATGATGATTCAGATTTGGTGAGGAATCATAAACGAGGTAGTTCACTTAACTGATTCATGTAAAGTTTATGAAGAATCGAGAGAGAACCAATCTAACTCCACCTGGGAGTTAGGATCTGTGGTTTGGATGCAGATAAAGCACGATGAAATCTAGTTTCCAAATATTCTAAATATCCGCTGTCACTTCCGGTTGAACTAAAAACTACATCAGTTCTGTTCTTTCGAATAGAGCACCCTATATATCATGAGAATCCTGAATTCCCCGTACGTCTCTGGAGTTATTGCATTCTGGAACGTTTTCCTATCCTTATTTTTTTTCTTTCGAAATATTCAATCTTTGAATAAGTCTGCCTCCACTGAAGTATCTCCTTGATTTGATTTTCTAATATCTTTTAGGCCATTGATGGTATTCTGAATCTCTCCGAATATCTAGAATATTGTTTATATCATATTATTCGATTATAACCTCCTCAGCAGCCTAGAAAATATAGGAGGAAATATTATCACAATCTCCTGTAACACAATATCCGAAATGCCTTTCTAGTCAAAATTGACAATTTGTTTTTCCTTGCTCGAACACTCTGTATCTCAAGAACTTGACACTAGAAGTCCGTATGTTCCTACCACAGTAATGAAGAAATCACGAGGGATAAAACTTGTGAAGCATCGTCGGTTAAATCTCGCAATATCCTGTATATTTAAAAAAAACATGAAGTGATTTCTAAATATTTAATAGATGAAACATTATTTTCAGGTACCCTCGCAGCTATAAGTGATGGCATGCAATATGGTTGGACAGCTCCAGTCATCCCCATTCTCCTAGGCCCAGATAGCCCAGTTAAAACATCGAAAAATCAAGCCGAATGGTTGGAACTCCTACTCATGATAGGATCCTTCTCAGGACTCACACTAACAATGTATCTAGTCGACAAAATAGGAAGGAAAAGATCGATACTTCTCTCCTCTTTCGTCACCCTGATCGTCTGGATAGTCATAGCTGTAGCACCAAGGATCGAGTATATTTTCGTAGCAAGATTATTCGCAGGAGCAGCAGGAAACATGGCGTTCGTAGCAACACCAATGTATATCGCGGAAATAGCCGATCAAAAAATCAGAGGATTCCTCTCTAGCATCATTTACCTCATGATGCTGGTAGGCATCCTGATCATATACGCTGTGGCACCATATATTCCTTTTTACGCCCATTGTGTTATAGGAGGAGGGCTTGTACTCATAGAGCTGATTGTTTTTCCGTTCATGCCAGAATCTCCCTACTAGGTACCTTCTTTTCAGGGACCAACCAGAAGCAGCAAGATCTTCTCTCAAGCGTTTAAGACCTGCAAGCGCGAATGTGGAAAAAGAACTTGAAGACATTCAGCAAGCAGTAGAGAGGCAGAGGACAGAAAGAGGAAGAATACAAGACTTAGTTGTGGTGGCTAGTAACCGCAGGGCTATCTTGATCATGACTATACTAAACGGAGCTCAACACTTCAGTAGTATCAGTGTCTTTCTAATGAACCTACATGTGATATTAGAAGCAGCCGGTTCAATTTACATAGACTCTTCCATCGCAGCAATTATATTCTCATTCATTATGCTAGTAGCGGCTACTATGGCTTCCCTTTCCATAGATAAATATGGCAGGAAAACGCTGCTTATCAGTTCGAGCATATCAACAGGTCTTTGCTTGCTGGTAATTGCCATTTATTTCACCTTGAAGAGTAGCGGTTATGACGTAGATGGTATCAGCTGGATACCTATTGTTTCCGTTATGATGTATGCTTGTGCTTTCAAACTTGGCTTGGGTATGGTGCCTATAGTGTTGACTGCCGAGCTGTTTCCTACGAAAATGAAGGCCATAGGGATGACTTTGGCCGATGGGATTTACGTGATTGCTGCAGTAGCTTCGCTTCAGATTTACCAACAGTTGGGCGATAGGTACGGCTTGCAGTATCCGTTTTATGTGTTTTCTGGTTCTTGTTTTGTGGCGGCCTTGTTTACATATTTTTTGATCCCGGAAACGAAAGGTAAAACGTTGGAGCAGATCCAGTATATTCTCAAGGGCATTGATGGTCCGCCGAAAGCCGAGAACACATCAGCTTGAAATTTTGTTTCTCATCTCTAGCAATTCGAAACGATGTATCTATGATTCCATTGGGTATAGAAATACTGATTTATAATTTTAATCGTCTCCATAAGTGGAATTTTGCATTTGAAGGTCTTTCAACACGACATTAGAGGTTTTAAGAACAATCGAAAGTAGTTCGATGCATGAAATTGACAATATGATTAGGTAATTTCTCGAATGAATATTAGGAATATTTCAAAAACGAATATGTTCAATATATGTAAATATGCGCTATAATGAATTTGATACATGATATATTCAGGTTACTTAGCATAAAGAATCCCTTTCACTTGTTGTGTGTTATTCTATATTCGATTATCATCTCATTTATTTTGACATTCAGAAAGAGTTTTTTTGTATTTTGGGTGTATGATAAATTGACATTCATCATACAGGGCGTGGAAAGAAATTCTGAATTGAGACTCTATCACGAATCTGCGATTAGAAGTCTATAAAAATCATAAGTTTCCATCGTTCAAGTTTGAACCCCCTGATTGGGTATGAAAGTGTTGAAAAGGAATATTCTCATATAGATTATGAACATACAAAAATGGATATATATTTATATAAAGCAATACATTGAGAATTCGCATTCTCTATGTGATGAGAATATCTACTATTTTTCAGTTTATTCAATAGAAAACAACTACTTTCCTGGCTATATATGCCACGACGAACATTGAATGTTCATCAGATATAATTCAATGTTCGACGTGGCAAATAGCCAGGAAAGTAGTTGTTTTCTGTTGAATATTCAGAATGATGTGTTCATATACATATTTTTGTCTGAAGGAGAATGCAAATTCTCAATTTCAGAAGATTTTATATTTTATTTTCAAACTCTTATCTTGTGTGTTCAATAGATATAATTCAATGTTCGTCGTGGCATATAGCCAGGAAAGTAGTTGTTTTCTATTGAATAAACTGAAAAAGAGTAGATATTCTCATCACATAGAGAATGCGAATTCTCAATGTATTGCTTTATATAAATATATATCCATTTTTGTATGTTCATAGTCTATCTGAGAATATTCCTTTTCAACAGTTTTTTTGTAAATGATTCATTCCGTCATTAGACCTGATCTTACACATTAGATGTAATAATAAGAGTCATTCAAAGAATTACAAAGCACAAATCTATAGTTGACAAGAATGATAGATGATAGATGCTGAAGTAGATGAAGAGGCTGTTCAGTTTTGAAATGTAAGTTGACAATTTTCAGATCTCACGGAAGTTGTGAAACGTTTAACTCTACGTAGCTAGTTGCGTTAAGTGAAATATTACATAACTGGTGATGAAATGTTCATTTCTACACCACTTACGGAATGGGAATATGGATGGAGGAAGAAAATAGTAGAATCAGGGATTATGAAATATCTTTATATTTTTTGAGTTATTTCAGAAAGTATTGAATGAGCTATATAAATTCAAAATGGCGATGATGTGACCAAAAGATTTATTACACCGAATTATGAAAACAAGATAAATATAAACAAAAAAATTATAATTCATATAATTGGGGAATACTCCATTTCTGTTGGTCCAGAAAATGGTCAGGTAAAATGAAATACCTGGAGCACCTATATTATTATCTGATATCTACTAACGACAAAATCGGAAATGTTGTTATCGTTCTCAACATCAACCCACACTTCTTGTGCCCAAAGCTTGCATCTTAGGTTGTGTATAATAACTATTCATATCCACTATAGTGGATCGAAGAATGGAAATATCCAATCTTCTGTTTCTAACTGCTATCACTGCGCTTTTGTCATCTTCCTCGTTCCCTTTTCCACTACTCATACTGTGGTGGTTTAGTTCTTCTTGTTTTTCATTTTGTTAATACTATTTCATAATTGACGCCTATTTCACTTCGAAGGTTAATTGGTTTGAAAAAATATAAATTATTCAAAATAAGCGCTATCTCTTCATTGGACCTCTCATACATCATTCATCTACTCAACTAAACAATTACATGAGATGAAATCACTTTTAAATATGTTTGAAGTATCAATTTAATGAACTCACTTATACATTTCGTGGAATCAAAATTCCATCATCTATTAAAACTGTCAGAAACGATAGTAACCTATACAATGATAGTATATATTATTCAACGAGCGCATAATGATGGCTATTACTCAAGAAGAGGAAAGTTACACTACGAGCCGAAGGCAACAATGTTTCAATGTTGGATCTAACTTTTATGAACAGTAAAAAAAGTAGTGCAATTACATATCAGTCAATCTTACCAGGTATTAAATGCCATTTTACTTTTCAGTTGTAAAATGAATCATATACTATTGTATATTATTCATTAACTGGCTTCCGCTGTAACATTCCCCACCGCGATGATTAATTGTAGTACCCTGTTTCTAGACGCTATAGTTCTAATCTATTCTAATAGCCCGCACATAAGTGTGGGCCAATCCTCAGAAATATTTTTTATCATTCCATCTCCAGTAATACCAGTCAGACGAACTTGACAAGCCTAGTCAGCACATCCTTTCATTGTCAACCATGAGATATGTCGAACAAGACTTTACCAACACTTGTTCGTCTAGAGAACGTCAAAGCTTTGGAATTCTATGCGAATGGAAGTATTCCCACACTGAGAAAACATGGTTAACAAGATCGCTCAGTTGGAATTTCTCTAGTACGGATAATTGAAAATATTGAGATTGGTAACTTCAAGATAAATATATCATGAGTGAAACCATACTGTTTGAAATATTTTCTTTCTTCTCTGAGAATGAGGGCTCAACTAGGGGTTCGAATATAATCAGAGAGAATCATATATATTGCAACGAAAACTATTTGTGAAGATATCTACATCATTTGTTGAGACAATCTGCTACGTTAACTATTAGTGGTTACCCTAACTAAGTATCCTAATTTTGCCTAATAGAATCGTATTATTTCTAACTAGGGACAATTAGTTACCCCAAAAATCTTGTTAACCCATTAGCGCCCAGATTATTTTTTTGTCTCCTATCATCATTTCCTTTTGTGAAAATACTCAAGAATACATAATAAGACTGGAAAAAATATCAGAAAAGTTATTAACAAGTTAGTTTTCGAGATATCTGATGTTGCCATATGGCAACACTGGGCGCCCATGATGAGTAAAATATCGAATTAGGTAACTTTATGGGTTTTATAGATTCCAGTCCCAAAATATTGAACTACGTAGGTGAAAAGGCATGAAACAGTTTATACACAGTGCAACATCGCACTTCGCACACATGAATCTGACGATTGATTTACATGTACTACCGTCTCTTCTTATTTTCCTGTGTATGTTGGACGAAGTGGTCAGTTGGATCGAATCTGATGTCATTTGATATTCGGCTATCAGAAGAAAATTCTATAGAAGCTGTTCTTCTCCCAGTTCTCGTAGGAAAATTATTCGAAAATTTCAACTGCAGACATGACTTCATATTCAGAATAGTTTGCTTGAGGAAATATGGAATTTTCTTCCAGAACAAAATCTGCACCCAACTCCCAGGTTTGTTCGAAACTTTTTTTGCTATTTATTCCCTCGTCCAACCAATGTTTCACATTTTCTTCCAACAGAGTTGACGCAGCAGTAGGCTCAATCCTCTCAAACTCCTGAGCGTCCGTAGGTATTTCATTGTGCACAATGATTTCAACTCCCCCTAATCTGTCATTGTTTGGCATCTTGATTTCGCCAGGAGCGCGTAATTGCCGATCAGTGAGGTTATCAACCAACCTGCCAATGTAATAATAATTATTTCATTGTCATTGAAAAATATAAAAAAATTATGATATACCCTCCCTCGTCCTCATCTGCGGAATCTTCATCTGTATCCACATTCGGCTATGGTGGCTCAATGTAAATATCACCTTCGATATCATCATTGAATGCGATGTCTAACGCTTCTACCAACGATAAACCGTTCCTGGAGTGAAAATATAAAGCTATCAGATTTGCAGAGTATAAGCGCTTAGTGTTGCCATATGGCAACAGTGAGGTTCTGATGTATATAACTTGAGTGAATACTATCTGAACGTTCACCAATTATCAGGATGAGGAATTTGTATGTGCCTATAATAACATTTATTCTATGGCATCACCATCTATTTGCATTCTATCAGTCAAAAAAATACTTACGTGAAACGAATATCCATATTTTCTCGACTTCACGAACCACTGACATTCTGAAACCACACAAACGAAACTTATAACGTCTAGAATGCCACTGCTGTTATAGATTCGACGAATGGTATATGGAGCATCGTGTACAGATAGCACAAGTACATCTTATGGATATACTATGGATATCCATCATGGTTATTGTGGATATCCATGAGATATCCAAAAAGGCTCTGGTATATCCTATGGACGTCCATAGGATGTGACAGTGTGACCTTTTTGGATGTCTTTAAGATATTCATTATGGATATCCATAAGATATCAACTATGGACATGGATAAGTGATAATAAACCCTATCCTAAATAATCACAAAAATTGGGAAAAGCACTCACGTCTCACTGCGTTCGAATAATGTATAGTTGTCAGTTCCTATGCATCATCAATTTTGGACAAATTCGTAGGAATCACTTTCAAATTAACTTCAAATTAATAAAATATGAGAACAGATTGACATTATTTGACTATTCCCAGGTTGGTAGAATCGATGATCTATATATAATCATCAGTTCTACCAATCTTGGACTATTTGAGACGTTATGCCACCTCGCGCTGTTTTTGAAAACCGAATCAATAATAATAATAGCAGATAGTGCATCACAATGTGTGCTATCTTTTGGAAGACCCACGCACAAATGTTACTTTTGTGAATCTCTTTTTATCTATTCATCATTTCATTCATTGTATACCGGGTGTCCCATTTTAATCTTTATCTGGAAATTTCTCGAAATGTATGCATCTGACAAAAAAAATTGCCGAATAAAAGTTGTATGGTTTGGAGGAGGACGTCTGGTTATAAAACAAGTTTCACCCCCTGACCCCCAGGGGAGTGGGAAATGGAGGTAACATTGAAATCTTTAATGGAAACCCCTATTTTTTATTGCTGATTCTGGAAGAGCATTAAAAACAATGAAGCTTTTATTCGGGAACTTCTTTTTTATTTCCACAAGATGGCGCTGCGATCTTGAAAAACAATATTTTACTATTTAGTTTGTAGTTGGCCACCCATATCACCCGACTTGACTTCCCCAGACTTCTTTTTGTGGGGTTACATCAAAAACATTGTGTTTCGCGAACCCCCAACCACACGCGAGAATATGAAAGATAGAATTAGAGGAGCGTGCATGGCTTTAACGCCTGCTATGTTGGAAGCGACAGTGCGGAATTTTGAAAAACGAGTGAACTTGTGTATTCAAGAAAATGGAGGTCATTTCGAACACTTGATAAAGTAGTCAATCTCACTTAAAACCAGCTTTAGTCTGACCTAAATGATACCTTAATTGCTGAAACATGCTTATTTTTCTCTTTTCTATGTAGAGGTGTCAAGGTAAGTAAGTTCGTTTAGCGTTAATTTGTCGTGTGAATATCACCCCAATGACGTTTGTCTGGGAAAATATCACACCCCACACTCTGCCTCGTCTTCAGGGGGTTGAAATGTGTAAATAGTGAAATATTGTTTTTTACGATCGCAGCGCCATCTTGTGAAAATAAAAAAGAAGTTCCCGAATAAAAGCTTCATAGTTTTCAATGCTCTCCCAGAATCTGCAAGAAAAAATGGGGGTTTCCATTAAAGATTTCAATGTTACCTCCATTTCTTACTCCCCTGGGGGTCAGGGGGTGAAACTTGTTTTATAACCAGACGTCCCCCTCCAAACCATACAACTTTTATTCGTCAATTTTTTTTGTCAAATGCATACATTTCGAGAAATTTCCAAATAAAGATTAAAATGGGACACCCGGTATATATACTTGATTTGAAGTTTCTAGGTATTGATCTTTTGTCTCTGTATCTGATGGATATTCTATGGACGTATTCAGGACGTTTGTTTCGGATATCTCAAAAACATCCGTAATCATATATCTTATGGAAATACATTTTATGTCCACGGATATCCCGCCTTGAATAGGACTCGAAATGGATATCCATAAGATATCCTGTGTTAACTGGGGTAGAGTCCCCACCGTTACTTTAAATTGTGCCCCACTCTCTCGAGTGCTATTAAGAATACAGCGTGTTTACTGTTGCCATATGGCAACGCTGGGCGGTAATGTTAATGAAACAACTAAGCTTTCCATTTGGTACAAATAGGTGTTTCCCAAAAATCGAAATTAGTTGCAGCATCAACATATCCTTTCTGTTTCCTATCAGCAATAACCTTTCTTGGAAAAATCACGTGAGATGAATTGCGAACAGTGTATCCCAAAAACTTGGTTTTCTGTTTCGGGCCAGGAGCTATTCCACTTCCAGTCAGCTGCTTATGATCTATAAGGCACAGATCCGTCCTGGAATACTGTTCCCATATTTGGAGTGCAGCACCCAAACATACCCTGAAGCTGTTGGATTCTGTTCAAAAAAGGGCAATTCGTCTCGTGGGTGATGCCTCGCTCACAAACCCACTCACTTCTCTGGAACACCGTAGAAAAGTTGGCGATCTGGTTTTATTTTATAGATATTTTCATGGACGATGCTCTTCTGAAATATCAACAATTATACCTCCCTTGGCAGTGCCAGCGTTATTAACCCGTCGAGTTGAGGCTTCGCACCCCTTCGTGGTCACTTTGGAGACCTGCAGAACATCTTTTTCCAAAGACTCGTTCATCCAACGAGCAGCGAGGCTCTGGAACATATTGCCAAGGGAGGTGTTTCCCGAGGCATGAAACCTCCAGAAATTCTAGGAGAATATACCAATTCCTACCTTATTTCCCTGGGTTCTCACGATGATCTCTGAACATCACAGGATATCCCTTTTCGTGGAAACCAGAACACAAAAAAAGTACTAAATTTTTTTCCGTAGTTACTATATTTTTAGTAATGGCTACATTCTTTCCTCAGTGTACTCCGAAAATCAATCAGAACCTTCTAACATCCATCTTTTAAGCTGATCTCACGAACTTTCCAATTCATATTCAATTATCTCTATATGTTTCAACTCCTTTTAACTTTTTTCGACTTTCCGGTCAATGATTTCACAACCAATCTCACAAAAATGAGAAAAACTGAAAGAACTAACGATAAGGACATAAATAAAAAAGCGATTACATCTACCAGGAAGTACTGATACCAAGGCATATCCAGACCATCCACCCTCAGATGTCTAGCACCCTTGTGTCTTATTACGTATTCCACCCAGTATACCGCCGCATCCATTGGCTTCATGGGACGATCATGGAATATCATGGATCTTCTTTTGGCGTTCTCTCGATATCTGCAACATAATCAGTGAAAAAAATTCAACTTCTCAATAATAATTCGTCTTTTCTCCTCGATAGCTATTTATGATGTTAGTGGTTAACGTGCTATTTCAAGTCGTGTTTCTTCTACAAACAATATTGAATTCCTGCGAAAATAATGAATAAACAATATCAGGAATTCAGAATTACTATCACAAGATTGGGAATCATGAGGTACACGAGATAGTTTTATGATAGTAACCATTTTGTACATTTTGAAAACATAGGAACCATTGTTTATCAATGATTTCTGCTAGAAAGCATGTCGTAATTTTCATAGAAAGCGTGCAGGACCACTTACTGAATTAAATGATGCAGCGAGTAAAAATACTTCAGATTTGCTTTCGAGAAAGTGATGACTACAGTTGGAGATGAATTGGAAATGAATAATCTCAGATATAATATGAATACGAAAAAATGGATATATATCTACAGAAATACATTGAGAATTGGCATTCTCTTAGTGAAAACAACTACTTTACTGGCTATATGTCACAACGAACATTGAATGATATCTAAATATATTGAACACACACGATAAAAATCTGAAAATAAAATCTTCTGAAGTTGGGAATGTGCATTCTCCATCAGATAAAATATTCAACAGAAAACAAATACTTTCCTGGCTATTCGCCACGTCGAACATTGAATCATATGTGATATCAAAATATAACTTACCTATATATTCAGTATTAAAATGAGATTTGAAATGTATTGGACAAGTATACTTGTATGAACTCTGATCATGATGAGCTTGAAATTTCCAAAAATCATTCGTATCAGTTATATATGAATATTATCTCTTACAAACAAGTCAGGTTAGGTTAGGCCTTATTTATTCGAATGAACTCATTTCGGGTATCGAACCCTCCTAGGTAACCTGAAGCCCAGTTATTCCCTCAGCAATTCTTCATGAAATACACAATTCATATCTCTGTATAATATACAAGTGAGGTAAGTAGTTTTGGAAGGTATCAGATTAGTATAGATGTAGTTTTCATTAGGTATTAGATTAGAATAGAGGTCAGATAATTTATCCGACGCTATAAAAGCAGATGATATTTCATCATTGCTCATGTAAGAAGGAAGTAGAGGCCATGGCACCATATCATGAGCATATTTTTATATTGAAACTATCAATGGGCACCAAAGATGTGTATACGAAGCTATGAAAGTTCAGAGAACTGGAGATTTTTCCCACAAACTACGTACTTAGCCCACTCGAATGTATTGGTTTTTTCACACAAACTACGTACCTAGCCCACTCGACTGCCAATAGGGACTAAAGAAACAAAAACAAAAGAAAGTTAAAACAATGCCAACATATTTCTTCTTTGTGGGAAATCAAGACAGTCGAGTGAGCTAGGTACGTAGTTTATGGGCAAAAAATCAAGACAGTACTATACCTAGTTCATTAGCGAAAAATGAAGACAGTCGAGTGAGCTAGGTACGTAGTTTATGGGAAAAAAATCGAGACAGTCGAGTGTGCTCTTTTTACTTTCTTTTGTTTTTTGTTTTGTTTTCAATTGGCAAGTAATTATCTAGGAACTTGTGAATTTTTTAGTTTTTTCATCGTGTCTCCCGAACTATTGAATTCAGAGAAAAATGTTATTCGCATTTTTTGTAGATTCTATCAAAAGGAATAATTTTGGTTCTATAACATTTTCAGATATTATCAGCTGTTTTCGAGATATTTGGAATCATCTGAGAATAAAATTTTCAACACTTTTGTTCCATCTTCCAATCAACAAAAGGAAAAAAATTTCATGGTTCAGTGGACGTCGATGAGCTTCATCTATCGATAATCTTTTGTTTTTCAATATATCTTCATGGTACCCTATGGGTCGTTCAAATTTTTTTTTTCATATTTTTTACTTTATTTCCTGTACTATTGGATTAACAGAAAAAATTTTGAATAATAATTTGTAGGAAATGTTCCAGTGGATAACTTTGCACTGCTGATGATTTTCGAATTTTCCATTTGTTTTCGATATATATTGAATTGAAAAGATTTCAAATTTTGATGTTTTGATTTTCATTTGTTTTTTCATTTTCCGATGGATGCACGAAAAAATGGCAATAAAATAATTTGTTGCGTCATCAAACAGGCATACGGTGCATTTTCAAATTTGGAGTTAGTCTATTGGTTCAGGAGATATGTCGTTTTAAAGCGAACCGTGTGTTTCGGAAAATCTCCTTGAAAAACCCACTTGTAATTTTCCGACCCTGCTCAATTTCAATAGGTTTCGTCTCTCCCTGATAGAGTTTTTTTTCACAAAAAATGAATTCGATCGCACCACTTTTGCGATTTGTAGAGTGGTCACAAGAAACTTCCGGTGAAAAATTGAAAAAACCCGGAAAAACCACCTTAGAGTTTTCCGATTTCCTTCATATTCTAATGACATAATACTGTTTTGAGTACAATAAGATGGCGAAATTTCAAGTCGATAGGTCAAAGGGTTCCGGAGATTTATGATTTCCACAGAGTACAGACAGACAGACAGACAGGCAGACCACACACAAAAACGAAAGTTGCTCAAAATTCGATGGGGATCATTTTCTCCAAAGTAACTATACCTCTATCTCGCTTAGTTTCCGAGATAGCATTTTTGGCAAGGCCGTAGTATACTCCACTATGTATAGCATCGTATAATAATTCAGATTTTTTTCTCTACGCCCTATATGATGAAAATGTTACAGTGGTGCGAAAAAAAAACGTATTTTCTCGTGAATTTTAGCGAAAATGTTTTTCTGACATATTTCGAGGATATTGCTTCACATTTGACATTTTATGAGCGATAAGATTTTTTTGAAATTATAACACAATGGAGTCATTGTGATAACAGATACGGAAATAATATTGATGACATACAAAGTACCTCATTGACGTATACAACACAGTAAAACATGAGCAATTTTGTGTTATAACCGTAGAAAGAGAATATCATGAGAGGACCCTAATTTAACTGAAACACGAAAAACATGTATTGAATACCACGAAGTTTCAAGCAATTCAATTCGAATCTTTAACGAACCAGCAGCCACTCAACTTCGCCAAGTTTTTCTTGAGTACAATCAACAAAAAAAAACAGTCGGTATCAACAGATCAACACTCTTGGTAATATGCCAGCTAATTCCGTCAAATTCTTGGAGCTGCCAAATCAAAAGCTCTATACTGGGACTTTCAACGATCTCCGATATTACTATTTTCGGCTCATCTAAAGGTATGGAGAGCTCGAACAATATCCTCTTCAATTAAACTTCATCAGAAGGAATCAATATTCCTGATTGTTCACAATGTGGAATATACATCATGTTATTGATAATACGACTCAAGCAACTTTATGGATTGAGAATTGTATTCTGCCTTTTGCTCAATAATCGATGAATATATAGGTATATCTTCTGATTTTCAACATTACTGTTGAAACTCAGTTACTTTGAACACTGGTGTCTGAAAATCACATTTTCAATAAGAACATCTGGTGTTAAAAGCTCACATTCGATAGTGGTTGTGTGAAAAAGCATTGTAATATGAAGCATAATATTTATGATGTTATGTGCACCAGGCGAAGTTCAGTTAGGAAGGTATTCTTACACTCAACCTATGCTAGACTCATATTCTAGTCCTAATATTGATTCAAACCCTAGAAACCTGAATCTAGCTTGCAATATACATTTCTACTCATCATCTCATATGAAAAGTATGATTCAATGAATGATTTCTTCTTATCTTACGTAATTGCAGCGCATGTAATTCAATGAGAACAAAATACAAGCATGCCTTTTCTCTAGATAAGCCGATCTCACTGTGCCCAACATGAGCTTTTCAGGAGTCACCATTCCTCTGAGGACATCCATTTTGATGCTCGAAATTACTATCAGCAATAACCTTTCTTGAAACAATCACGTGAGATTGCTAAAAGTGCATTTCAAAAACCTGGTTTTCTGTTTCAGGCCAGGCACAGATACGACCTGTCCTGGAATACTGTTCCCATATTTGGAGTGCAGCTCCCAAACATACCCTGAAACTGTTGGATTCTGTCCAAAAAAGGTTAATTCATCTCGTGGGTGATTCCTCGGTCACAAACTCACTCACTTCTCTGAAACACCATGGAAAAATTGGCGATCTGGCTCTATTTCATAGGTATTTTCATGGACGATGCTCTTCTGAAATATCAACAATTGTTCCTCCATTAATTAGCAGTCCCCGAGAGATTAACCCGTCAGGTTGAGGCTTCGCACCCCTACGGGGTCACTTTGGAGACCTGCAGAACATCTTTTTCCAAAGACTCGTTCATCCAACGAACAGCAAGGCTCTGGAACACATTGCCAAAGGAGGTGTTCCCCGAGGCATATAACCTCCAGAAATTTGAGAAGAACACCAATTCCTACATTATTTGCCTTGGTTCTCACGATATTCTATGAATATTTCAGGATATCCCTCGGGATATCCCTTTTCGTGGAAACCACAACATAAAAAAAATGCAACTTGATGAAAGTACACATGTCTCCGGGCTATCCATACCTACTTTTTGTGTTCGAGAGGTACCTTTCCGGAGAATGAATTGAAGATTTGCTACTTTGCACCGTAGACAAGTTGGCGGTCTGGCTCTATTTTATAGATATTTTCATTGACGATGTTCTACTGAAATATCAACAATGGGCGTGTACACCTTAGTAGAACTTTCAACGCAAACCATGTTCATAATGATCCTTTTATACATAAATAACGATTGACGACATAATTCCACCTAAAAATTAACTGGAATGTTTTATTTTTGGACATAAATAATAGTACCTGCTGAAAACGGACCCTCTTTATGACGTAGAAACCTCATCTCGCCTGGAACCAATGAGCGTGACCCATAGAGTGACCCATGTGTGACACTTTTCACTGTTGCCATATCATCTAAACAAAATATCCGAGAGATCGAAATCGATATTGAAATATCTTTTGATATCAACTACCACTACTGCAGAAAAATATATTCAACTTGTCGATGGTAGGTTGAATCATTAGAATATAAACAATCTCTAAACAACGAAATGTCTCAATCTCAAAACCATTTGCACCATGACAATTTCACAATAACCCAATATATTTCATGAACGCAGCAACATTGCTTTGTTGACCCGTTTCACATGGAGCTGCATTTGCATCGAGTCTCGAATTCCGATTCCGAAGTTATTTATGTCGTCTAAAATGAGAAGAGAAGACACGTAATGAAATTAACCTCCAAATCTTGCTTTATATCATATTAGTACATATTATTGATATATTGAATATAAACATGAACGTTGAATCAGGATTTGTAAAAGGTTCATCAAATAATCTACCGAAAATTGATTTGGAAATGGTTAATTAGTTTTATGTCTCTAACATACTAGATAATCTCCACAGTTCCTCAGTGCTGAAATGAGGAATAGAAAATCTGAAAGGTAAGTTCCACAATATTCATTCAACTTTCATTGCTTGTACCTATTATAGTTGCATTGGAAAATTGTTCACCTGAAAGGATATTTAACATCAGAATACCCCTCATATGGAGATTCCGAGGGAGAATCCTCATTAAATCAGTCACTGATCGATATGTTTACCAATGCAACAATATGAACAATTGGTATGAAACAATGTTATTCCCAAGACTAGATACTGCTTGCATCTCCCCCTGAATGTTCTTCTAGGAGATGGATCATTCATTCTTCAAGCAATTTCCATATGAATTTCTGCAAAGCAAAACTACTACTATAATATTGTGTTTACCCAGTGAGGGGCGAGATTTGTTCTCAAAATTCCCAGATAAATGATGTTTTTTCAATTGCAATTAGGCACAGAACATTTCTGAATCATACTTTTGTCGAAATATTTCAATTTAATATTCGAAAGTTGCAGAAACTTAATATAGGTTAGAATTGATCTTCTTCTTGTTCTTATCATCTATGTCCCAAAAATCAACTTGCCGATTCACCAATCTTGGTGCTTTGTGAGAAATCATGTATGTATCCATTCATCTCTGTCTGAAATAGTCTTGTTTCAGTATTAGGGTTTTGACGTCACATCATCGCCTCGTTTTCAGAGGTCCGAAAAATCGGGGATTTCAATAATTTTTTAAAAAACGTAGGGAGCTCACAGCAAGAAACGGTTTGCGGTGGTGAGCTAGTTTGGGTGAGTTCTATCGAATTATGAAATAAAAATTTTTTGTGATATAAGCCCATTGTTCCTCCGTTGGCAGTCCCGCCAGATTAACCCGTCTAGATGAGGCTTCGCACCCCTTCGTCACTTGGAGACCTGCAGAACATCTCTTTTCAAAGACTCGTTCATCCAACGAACCAGCGAGGCTCTGGAACACATTGCCAAGGGAGGTGTTCTCCGAGGCATATTACCTCCAGAAATTCAAGAAGAACATCAATTCCTACCTCATTCCCCTTGGTTCTCACGATGTTCTCTGAACATTACAGGATATCCCTTCTCGTGAGAACCAGAACATAAAAAAAATTGTTTGGATTCTATTGGTATAGTATTTATAATGCATAACCTAGTTGTATATGGATTTTTTTGCAAACAGAGACGTGGTATGATATATCTTCTTTATTAGAATAAGATTTTCTCTACTATGAGCTTATGTCTTCTTCTCCCGTTTTCTACCATTTTTTCAATTCAATTGAACACTTGTGTTCCCCATGATCATTTCAATCGTTCAATATTTTCACTATTCTGTAATTGAGAGTAAAGACTATTCGACTATCTACTCACTTGGGATTATCCAACAACTCTCTGAGCAGCGAATATATTTTCTTTTCTGAAAAATCTGGATCCTTGAAGGGCAGAACAAGGGCATATCCGTTCTTGAAACCATTGTGGGCGTTAGTGCTTTGATCACCAAATACTGGAAAAGCCAAAACTGGAACTCCATGATAGATGGTTTCGATGGAACTGAGCAGACCGCCATGGGTGATGAATAGCTTCACATTGGGATGAGCTATGGAAATATTGGAACATATATCACTCTCAAATGGGAAAATGAAGAGAATGGAGATCCTGTTTCTTCATGATATTCTAGTTAAATACTGTTTTCGGGTTAATCGAGGAGGTGGAACAACAGATATCTTGAAATTCTTTTTCCTGCTCGTTTCTACAAATAAAAATTTGTCAAGGCCAACTATAATGTGAGAAAATATTTTGATCAAATCCATTCATTATTGTTTTATACGCAAAAAACAGATTTTGATCATTTTCATGTCTCCTCCGTAATTTCTTTATTTAAGAAAATATTCAAATAGGAATTTCACATTCTCATGGCAGTTTTTCAAAGTGATTTCGAAAAAAATATGATATTTATACCAACTCTTCTAGAATTTGAGATATCACCATCAACTTAAGTTTTTCAAATGTAGGTCATAGCTCACTATGACTTAGTTACAAATAACTTTTTTTTCTCTCACAGATGATATGTCGCAGTAATAGTTTTGTGTTGATACCCAGCAAACATCGAAAGGCGGTAGAAAGCCGGGCCCATGGCGAGAACGGCGGGCAAATGTCGATGTCGGCATGCCTCGAAAGGCCCTCCAAATAATTTCGAAGGATTATGTGACGAAGGCAGAATGTACACATACTTATTATAGGCCTCTGTTTCCCAGTCGCTAATTTTCCGCTGTATGTATCCATGTCAAAGGGCCATCAAAATTTCAACGGAGTGTGCCATCATCACTCACTCAACGTTGGCATCCCTCGCTCGCGTGAATTTTTATTTTGATCATTTTGCAGTGGTAACAATGATTCAGTATGGCGTATATTGATTTCTTTGTTTATGTTGTCTCAACACTCTCAAAAGAGATTTTAGTACTGTGTTCAGTTATGGTTCAGTTCGTGTTTGGTTTTCTTGTGGATTTTTATACAAAATAGAAGGGAATTGAAATAAATACAGAGTGAGTGAGGAACAAACATAATATACAGTATGATGCAAATGTATGGAATAAATTCATTTCAAAACAAGACGACTTCCGAAAAAAATCCAAAAACTAGACTTCGAAACTCTATTAATTGATGTATTTTTTCAAATGAACGACCCTTCGTTGTTCAATTCTCAGTAGCAGACCTCTGCAAGATTCAGTTAATCAAATGATAATCCATTTTAATTTCAATTTTTTTATGCAAAACGTTGACTGTTGAATAGACGATCAGTAGACCTTTCAAACGAGGTGTCACATGACCCCTGTTTTCATTTGAAAAAATCGTTCATTACGTCATTACTCCAACACCGGTGACGTAACAGCTCTCATATGGATATCATGAGATGAGGCTTCAAAAATGAAACCTCACGTGTTTTTGGAATTTTTCCAAATGGCGCCCATTTCTGAAATAATGAATTTATTCCATACATTTGCATCATACTGTATACAAACTTGCACAGCTGAAAAATTCTATTTTAGATAATAATTTAACAAACACCATTGGACAAACAGATGCAATAATAGTTTGGACGTGTTCAGCGGATACACAAGAATATAATAATTGAGGACTTTGAAGATGCATGAGCTTTCATTACATATGAATCAAAACGAAAATCAAAGATAGCTACTTGAAGAAACAGTTATATTTCAATACTGTAGGTATGTATAAGGTTGCATGTTTTTGATTAGTAGAGAATGAAATCATGCAATCTTTCAGCTACAAAATCAACAACCAGAAGCCCATCAATTACAGATATTAATGAAGAAAGCACACAATGATCCAGACTATATGATATGAATTATTTCATGGTATATGATATCTCACTTCCAGGCAACACTCATATCAATATGATGAAGAGTAAGGTTCTCCATATCTGGAAATTGTTTTCTTGTAGATTGAACTTCATTGTTGACAATAACTTGATCAATATAATAACTGATTACCTACATACCTTTCAAGTTATTAGGTAGGTACATAGGTGATGTAATTTTTGACCTAGAGTTAGCAACTTTTTGAAACAATGAGGATACAGAGTGATATGTAGAACTACAATTAAGATGTTTGATGTTTCCATAGTTGTGATATGTATTGGTTGTGATCATGGCAATAATATACACACATGGATATTTTCAGTTCTTGTTTTTGTATGGGGTATTTATACTGCTAGTTTCCTGGAAATAACTGTGATATCAGAATGCCATCTCAGAGATTTTTATGTAATTATTCAACAACTTCAGGTAAGGAGTGAATTCCACATTTCTGTTTTACCCAGAGGATTCACAAAAACTCGGAGACCTCAATTCTGTTTTTTGAAGTTCCACATTTTTTAACCAGTTTGAAAATAAAGAGAGAGTGATGCAAATCTGAGTGAAAATGAGATACGTTGCTTTCCAAGTGGTGATATATAAACTGGAATACCTTTCAAAAAACCTATTTTCACTGAGATATGTGCATTACCCTATATAATCTTTGACAAACCTAGTTGAAAAATGGGACATCAAAAAACAGAATACTATGAATATTGAATTCATTCAACCCCGTTAACCAACGGCCCTGAAAGACTCCTCTATCGGGGGAATGAAAATACTCAAGCGGCCAATTAATGGCAGTCTCTGAAAAGTCTCAATCGGGCCGAAGATATGCCATGAATGCAGTACATTTGAGTACTTGCTTCTGCCCACCAGAAGCCCTGCAACGTAATAAGCGGCATACTGATGGCTCTAGTGAGGCGGTCGGCTGTCGGCCGCCGGGACACGGGCTAGCCGGCCCAATTTAGTTGTACAATAGAGGACCGCTGTTACCGCTCGCCGGCAAGTTTCATTGTACCTTTAGAGGGCCGCAAAAATCATGTTTGCTGGGTAACAACGGAGTTATCGTCATTTATACAAAACAAACAATTAGTTGGAAGCCGCCATCTTGAATTCATGAATTTCAACAAAAAAATCATGATCTTCGACCTCAAAAACCCCCACTTATCAATTTTGAATGGAATCGGACCAAATCTTGTCCGTCATCTTGGAGCAGCAATTTTTTTTTTTTCAACAAAAATTCCATAATGTATTGTCACCGAAATTATGAACACCTGCCAAATTTAAAGGTAATCAGAGTTATGGAATTTTTGTTGAAATAAAAAGAAAATGGCTGCTCCAAGATGGCGGACAAGATTTGGTCCGATTCCATTCAAAATTGGTAAGTGGGGGTTTTTGAGGTCGGAGATCATGATTTTCTTGTTGAAATTCATAAATTCGAGATGGCGGCTTCCGAATAATTTTTTGTTTTTGTATAAATGACGATAACTCCGTTGTTATCAACACAAAACTATTACTGCAACATATCATCTGAAAGAGGAAAAAAAGTTATTTGTAACTAAGTCATAGTGAGCTATGACCTACATTTGAAAAACTAAAGTTGGTGCTGATATCTCAAATTCTAGAAGAGTTGGTATAAATTTAATATTTTTTTCAAAATCACTTTGAAAATTGCCATGAGAATATGAAATTCCCATTTGAATATTTTCATAAATAAAGAAGTTACGGAGGAGACAGGAAAATGATCAAAATCTGTTTTTTGCCTATAAAACAAAAACGAATAGATTTTATCAGAAAATTTTTTCACATTATAGTTGGCCTTGACAAACTTGACATTTGGTGTCATTTAACCGACCTCGTATCTCTCACCGTTAAAATGATACCCATGGTGAGCATGGTAAGTGGGACACACTGTATAAGGGCGGATTGTTTAAACAAAAATATGGCGATAGAATAGAGTTTCAATCGGAAAGGTATTCATCATAAACTCGCACCAATATGCATTTCCTGACAAGAAATGTTATGCACCAGCAATAACTATCTATCAGTGAAAGCACTGTTCATAAATAAAATAACATTTGAAATCCCCTTCCGAGACTTCGAAATGTTCATTTGCGTTTTTCTCGAGAACGTATAAAAATATCGTTATCAAACAGGAGTACCAATATTACGATACGATAATATTGTCACAAACTGTAGGCGGGGGTTGCCTAAGTTGTGCTCTAGATCTATTAGAGAATGAACTTTGAAAGTGATAATAATAAAGAATACTCCAAAAGGTTTTCAACAAAACATATACACACATTTATTCTTTGGTTTCTGATTAACAATAAATAAAAACTTAACTTACCCTATATGTACATTAAAAGCTAATATTGCTGGGACTTCAGAGGAAGGGCATCTTCTGTTCTGCCCGAACTCCGACGGTTCGGGCACAGTGGCAAATGATGAAACTGATCGAATGATCAAAATGATCGAAATGATCGAAACTGATTGGAATGATCGAACTGATCCAACTGATACCTGTGCTGACTTCCTCGCGCCTTTTATATGTTCAATCTATATTTTGGAAACGTGACAGTGAGGAAGTCAGGTGGATATTCCTGGTTCGTTGAAGTCAATGCCATGCCTGTGTTTATGTTCAACTACACATCGAAAGTTCGTGGTTCAATAATTTTGGGAATAATAAACACAGACGTGACCGTTCAATTCAATGACTTCGAACCGATATGATTTTATACGAATTTTTGAAATTGACTTCAAATATCTCCTCATTTGTGACATGCCCCTCCTCTAATAACGACGGCCCCCGTCGTTAAAAAATGGTCAGATGGGTCTATTTCTGAAATCCTTATTCAAATATTACCTATAGATACCTTCTAAAATCCTAATTAAAATGCTATCTATATACCTGTTTTGTGAATCAATTTACAATAAAAATAATGATAACCTGTCCTAAGCTGCAAATTTTACAAAATTCAAAATAGTCGATCCGCACACTCTGGTCCATGGCTCGGAGGTCTGGGTAGTTTCTGAGTTTCACATCAGGCGTTCCTCAGGTATACTCCACTAACTGTGTGCATGGCTTATCGTACAATTTGGCAAATGCATGGCTTCTCGACGTAGCGTGGTTTCCTGGAGTGTTCTCTGCATGGTTACTGGCATCTCCATAGATTACAGATGTGGCTATGTGACGTAATCTAACTAGATGACTGGAGTT